TCTTAACTAAGTTAAATTTTTAAGGTTATTAACTTTAACTTAACTTAGTTAAAAAAAAAAGTAACTTACCCAACCCTGGATATCAGTACGGAAGATATTACCTCAATTTCCTCTTCCAGTAGTGATGAAGATGTCGATTTACTATATTTTCCTTTAATGGAATATTTAACAAGCGGAACTAGAAGATATCGTATTTATGAGTATATAGAAATTATTGATTTGTGGACTGAACAAGAATTTAAAGAGCATTTGCGGTTACCAAGACACTTAGTATTACATTTAATCGGTAAGAAACGCATAATAAAAAAATTATTCAATGACAGTTAGATTTTAACGTAGTGAATTCATATCAATATTAATTGAACGACAATAATGTAATAAGTGTAATTAACAATATGTTTTAGATGAATTTGAACAGTCCGAACATTTCCCAAAACACGCGTTTGGAACGAAGCCAATTTCAGGGAAAATTAACATCCTACTTTTCTTGTGGTTTATGTCAAACACTGAGCCTCTGCGTACAATGTCTGACAGATTCGATATCTTCATCTCTTCTGTATATCGGATTTTACGTAGAGTCGAAAATTCGCTACTAACTAAAATTAGAAACTGCAATTAGATGGCCACAGGACAATTATATCGCTGTATGTGAAGGTTTTCGAGCTAAAAGAGGTATTAACAGTATAATTGGGGCAATTGATGCAACAGCGATAAGAATAGAAAAACCGTCCATCAATGAAAAGGATTATTGTAACAGGAAGAAGTATTTCTCTATTACTTTGCAAGGAGTTGTTAATGCAAGTATGAGATTCACTAATATTTACTGCGGTGAACCTGGTTCTCTGCATGATGCCCGTGTCTTAAGACGGCCGCCTTTATATCAAACAACAGTACAAAATAAAGAAATACTTTTTCTAGAGGATACATTTATAATTGGCGATTCGGCATATGCCTCATTATCGTGGCTCGTTCTTCCGTTTCGAGATAATGGTCATTTGACACCACAGCAAAAAGAGTTTAACTTTTTGCATTCTTCCACATGTATGGTAGTCAAATGTGCATTTGGTTACTTAAAAGGACGTTTTCGCCGAATAAAATTTTTCAATGAATACCGACAAATATCTTTTATCACAAATACAATTGTTTGTGCATGCATCCTGCATAATTATTGCATAGACGAAAATGATGCATATGATTTTCCAGAATACGGTGACAATGATCCAGTAAATGTTAATAATAACAAACAAAATGAAAATATTGATTGGGGAATACAAGTAGATCGTAGAATGCAACTTTTTAGAGAGTTGTTTCCCAATTGATAACAAAATGTTCAGAAATGATGTACCATCGAATAAATTTGGATTGAAAATAAACGAAAAATACTTTAAAAGTGATTTGCGATACTGCTTTATTACACTTTTCAATGTTTCCCAATAAATAATAAAATTATAATCTTGAAAATCATTATTGAATAAATGGAATTGTAAATAAATGGTCTGCATTCAGCAGACTCAACAGTTGAATGAACGCTTTCTGCTATTGATATATTCTTCTAGATCTAAAAGTCTAATTGGATGATCTAGAAGAACACCAATAACAATGAGCGCTCACTCAACTGTTGAGTCTGCTGAACGCAGTCATTGGGAAGTATTCTTAATTATTATACTATAGTGCAATTTGTATTTTTACAGTGATACATACAACCAGGGATGGGAAAGTTACTTTGTAAAAGTAATTAATTACAGTTACAGTTTTTCTCTTTCAAAAAGTAATTAATTACCGTTACAAGTTATTGACTCTGAAAAGTAATTCGTTACAGTTACAGTTACTGAAAAAGTAACTTTAAGTTACTTTTAAGTTATGTTTTTCATCGGAATTTTTATTGGTAGTATCGATACCATTAAGGCTGTATTCAGAAACGTTATCCAACTGCCCTTCATGTATCGTTTTACCTTTGTTTTTTACCTAATATTAAACAAGGATAATACACGGGGTCATCAGAATAATGCCTAGAACAATTAAAAGAAAAGACTGGCTTAAATTTACATGTTATCCAATTTTATTCAAAAAGATAAAAAAATTATATGACAAAGACGTTTTTCGTTAAAGTAATATAAACACATATGAATATGAATATGAATATGAAATAGCACACATATACAATGTTTTTTGTAAAAAAAAATTCTTTTTATATTCGGCTAAAAGTTGCAAATAAATTCCAGCACTAATCCAAAATGGTCTACAACCGTTCATTGAGCGCTCTTGTATTTGATTGGCGGATTCCATTAGACCCCAAAATATAGACCAAACAGGTACAAGAGTTCATTGAACGCTTTAATTAAATTTCTTTCATCTGATTAATCAAATCTTTCGAAGTATTTGTAGCGCCAAGTGGACACTACCGTGGACAAATAAGTTTAAAATATATAAAATAACTATGAAAGTAACTATTAAATTAGTTACTAATTACTTAAAAGGTGTAACTAAGTTAAGTTATAATTACAGATGGAAAGAAAGTAACGAAGTTAAGTTACAGTTACTGAAAAAAAGTAATTCTAACTGTAACTTCGTTACAAGTAACGAGTTACTTCCCATCCCTGCATACAACTAAACCAGAGGCTTACAACTGAATACATTTATTAAAATTTATATATTTGTAAAGGCGTCTTTCTGACTATTTTAAGTAATAAAAAAGTAAACTATTTTATTTATTCGGATAAATTTATTAAATTATTTTTTAAATTTATTATTAACTTATTTGTTAAATTAAAGCTATAAAAAAGTAAAAAAAACAATCTTTAATAAATCATCTTAAATAAATTAAAGTGTCGTCAGCTGGATATAGCTTAATCAAAGCTAAAAAAATCTCTGTGTCAGAAATTGCACCATTTATCATACTGTTTCATCAATAATCAATCAGATGAATCGGAAATGTATTTTGGAGACGTATTACCCGTGTCTTTTTTGAGATGTGCACGTAAAAGTTTGCACTTTTCCCTTTCAAGGCTTAATATTTTAGCATGCCTCCTCTCTTTATCCTTCAATTTGTTGCTCGCAATAATCCTTCTCTGTTGAATTTCTTTCTCTCTCAGTTCAATTTGTTACTTTTTTAAGGTTAATAATTCTTCCTTTTTTTTCATCATGTCTTCGTACCGTTTCTCTTTAATAATCTCTTTTTTGGCTTTATTTTGCAGATGTTGATGCAATTCCGAGTTCAATTTTTAGTTTTTGCGATGTTTGAACCAGTTCCGTGTATTGGGCGTTTTTTCCGTAACTCTTGTAACCCTGGTAGCAAGCTGACGTCAAAATAACGTCATTTGACGTCAAAAAGACGTCATTTGACGTCAAAATGACGTCAAAATGACGTAGCTTGCTACCTGGGAATGACTCTGCCTTCATTATTGACGTTACGCCTTCAATAACTTGCTTGTTTGCTGCTATATCTGACAGTGGACACATCTCTTCAACGACTGTATGTTGTATATTTTTCATCTTAAAATGAGGTTCACGTAATTCCTTTTTTTTCTTTCCTCCATCTTCACTTTGTTCGTTAGTGGCCATCACGTTACTTGCTTCATTCTTGGATGTTTTTAACTTCGATGAAACAGTGTAAGTCGGTTCAACATTGTTTTTATTGTTCCGAAAATTTCATCCAGTTGGTCGAACCATTGAAATTCAACAGTACCTCTTCCGGTTTTGTTGTTGCTGTCGACACATTCTTTGTACCGTTTTGTTTAGGCGTTCATTTTCCACCTTACTTGCTGTGATGACATCTGTAATATGAAATAACAAATTATAACTTATTAAAGTTGACTGATATATATATTTAGAAAATGGACTCTTTGAAAAACAATTGTTATTCTACATATGCGGGACATTTTAATGAATAATTTTGTAGCGGTATTGGAACCTATCCGTGACCTCAATTATTTAGTGAAAATGAATTGTATGAAAGCAATACGATAGGTAACTACCAGGTATGTAAATATGAAACCGGAATTTTTTAATAGAAAATACACGTTTATTACATGAAAATGATAAAAAATATTTTTCGAAGTATTGCCCATCGCTAGCTATACATTTTTCCCACCTGTCTGACAATTTGTGGATGCGACGCTAAAAAAATTGTTGCTCTTTTGAGCCAAATCAGTCATCTAGTCATTTTCGTACATCTTCGTAAGAAGTGAAGCGCTGCTGAGCAAGTGCGGGTCCCATCGATGCAAATAAGTAGTAATCGGACGGAGCCAAGTCTGGTGAGTAAGCCGCATGCGAAAGTATTTCCCAACCAAACGCCTCAATCGTTTCCTTGACCAGTTTTGCTGTGTGTGATGGTGCATTATCATGAAGCAAAATCACTTTGTGTTGTCTTTTTTGATATTCCGGTCGTTTTTCACGCAAAGCTTGATTCAAATTGATCATTTGTTGTCGATAGCGTTCAGTATTAACGGTTTCGCCAGATTTTAGCAACTCATAATAGATCACACCTTTCTGATCCCACCAAACACAGAGCGTTGTCTTCCGTCCATAGCGATTTGGCCTTGCAGTCGATGTCGATGGTTCGCCTGAAATTACCCATGATCTTTTATGCTTAGGATTCTCAAAATATATCCACTTTTCATCGACAGTCACAATTCGATGGAGAAATGACTTTATTTTGTACCTGGCGAGCAGCATTTCGCAAGTAGCTTTTCGGTTTTCCTGCTGTCTTTCATTCAGTTCATGTGGAACCCATTTTCCCATCTTCTGGATCTTTCCCATGGATTTCAAACGTATGGAGACGGCTTCTCGTGTCAATTCAATTGATCCGCGAGTTGTTGTTGAGTTTGAGCGTCATCCTTATCCAACAATGCTTGCAATTCGCTGTCTTCAAACTTTTTCGGTGATTTTCCACGTTCTTCGTTTCTCACGTCAAAATCGCCACTTTTGAATTTTTTAAACTACTCAAAGCACTGTGATTTACCAAGAGCATGCTCACCGTAAGCTTCGACAAGCATTCGATGCGATTCTGCAGCAGTTTTCTTCAAATGGTAATAGAAAATCAATGCTATCCGCAAATCCGTAGTTTCCAGGCACAAATCCGTAGTTTCCAGGCACAAAATTCGACATGTTCAACGCTATTACAAACTATACTGTTGTATGAAACTTGTATTGTTGAAAATCTTTGTCTGATGTCAGAACAAGGAAATGGCGTCAATGACGCGGTCTGACGGCAACTACATTGACAGTTATGACTTATGACCATCTATTGGTAAATTCCGGTTTCATATTTACGTACCTGGTAAGAGAAAAAGTAAAATTGACTAATATAAAAATATCTGTTATTTAAAATTCGAAGAACACTCTAAACCTACAATAATCTTGTGTAAGTTACAATTTTTGATACAGTTGCTATTTAAATTACATAACATGAATTCTATTGATTTAATTTCTATACAAACACACACACATATTTTTTGCTGACTATTTATGACTATTTGAAGATTACCCTCTGAAATACATTTTCAATTATCTTTAATTATGATGAAATTTACAGTTTTACCTCAATGTTGAAATCTCTTAGACCACGTGCGTCCTATATTTTTGTTTTCTTTTTAGGATGATCCAGCATGCCCATGTTAGCTTCATACAATGTCAGCAATGCCAATATAGCATTAGGTTTGTTCTTCTTGCTTACACTTTGTACATTTACACTTTACACTTTAGTGTAAAGTTTACACTTTAGCGTTCTTCTTGTCGGAAGTGACGTTAAAGTGTATGATTACACGCTGTTTGGCTTGAAAGTGTAATACACTTTAATGACGTATTTTACACTGGTTTTAAACGTGCCTAAGAGGTGGTGTAAATTGGTGTAACGTTATACTAATAGGTTAGGTTGCCGATGATTTGAATTTTGATTAGTAGTTCTTCTTCCGAATGGAACGTCGAATTACAAAAAATGCAATAAATTATTATTTAGTCAACAAATTAATTATTAATTAATGAATTAATAATTAATAGTAAATAATAAATAATAATTATTAATAATAAATAATAATTAATAATGAATAATTATTAATTAATTTTTAA